TATAAAAAAGTGGCATCTTTGAAATAGACATCTATAATAATAGATTAATATTTCCAGTGAACCATAGACTATAAACTACAGCTTATATCCATAAAGCAATAATTTCTTAAAATACATGTTGGACTAAATTGTATGTATAATAATTTTATTAATTATTAAAAAATAATTGATAAAATTAACTACTTAAAAGATTGTCCTTACATGATTTTTACTAAAAGCACATTATCAGCCGCATCTGCTCTTGACAAGTCTTGGGTCAGAAAACTGTCAGGTACTGTGCCTGATATTTTATTTATAATTAAAACCTATGTTGGAATATACCTAATAATAAGTACTATTCTATTTAGTCACGATGGCACAGATTATAGTTGTTTACTATTTTTATCAGCAAGTAATGCTGCTGGACTTTCGTAACTAAGTAAACAGCCCTAAATAGTATACTTTATCTTTATATTTTATTTTTTTATTTCTGCCCTGCCATACATAAATACAGGATTCAACAGCAGATACCTCATATCAATCCACCACATCTCTCCTGACAAGGGCTAATATTGAAGTTTTGTTTACTTCTTGAATGATCATGTCATGTCAATTACTCTGGTCTACCTAAATAAATATGATAACAAATTTGGATTTCATAAAATAAATGCTCTTGGAACATATATAAGAAATATGTGAAGGTTTTATGGTATTTAAAATAGAGTAGTAAAATAGTCTTATAGTCAAAGTTTGAACAGATTCCTTTTTATTATTTATTGTCTGTTTTATAGGATTCTATTTATGTTAAATTGTTAATAAATCTGAGGAATATTCAGTTTCAGGATCTGGCTATGACTTTTCTCAATTTTAACATTAATTAATAATTCATCCTTGTAACCTTATACTGTAAATAATGGAGCCCACCTAAATTACATGCTAAGATAATTGAAGATATATGCTAGAATAATGGTGGATTTAGGCATGAACGTAATTCAGATTATTATAGATAGGCCTGTATATAGAAATTCTGATACTTCTCTACAAAAACTGGCAATATAATGTAAAATTGGTATAAATAGTAGAATAATATAAGGATGATGAATTACTAGCAAATACTAAAACCAAGAAAAATTGTATAAATAAGACAATAAGTAATAAAATAAAAGAATAATCAGTTCAGACTGTAAGTATAAGTTAAATATTAAAACTTTTTGAAGTAGAAACCATATTATTTTAATGAATTATAGATATACATGGACCACAAAGTATGGAAAAATAAAATACATGAATCGTTCATTCATCTCTTTTTGAAGATTTTATTTCAAAAACATGTACATCATCTTTACAATTTAATATGATTTAAGATGTTGACAAATGTAATTATATTAAGGTATAGGCTTTGTTTATGCCAAACAGCAAAGCAACACACTGCTTAAGATTGTTTCAAATAAAACATATTATGTATTTCATAAACTACCAAACACTTTTAATTTTGTGCCATAATGGACTGTACCATTTCTCCTATATTTAGTTTTCTATATGGTAAAGCTATGACTTATTACATTCATTATAATATATTATTAACTTGCTAAAATTTAAGAATGTTACACTTTATATGGGGGCACAAGTCATGATATGTTTCGATTATGGTGTTTTTTTATTCATCTATGACCCGTTGTGCTATTTTAAATAAAGAAGGCTAGAGACATCAATGTCTACCATTCATCACAAATATACCGCACAGTCAAGGCCATAGACTTTATGAACCCTTGAACACCCAACAAGGTTAGTAAACTACAGATTGCAGAGCATAGCTAGATTCAAGCATCTATTTACTTTTTTTTTAGCAGTTATTCAACATTGTAATGCGATATTAATTAATATTTCAAAAGAGGCATAATATTATTAAAATACAATGCAATCTGTAGGTATAATCCTTCTTCAATGTAGCAGTCCATTACTAATAATTTTTATTTACAACATAGAGTTATCCTAACAATGACCCACATCTCACGCTGCCATAAAATCAAAATTAAATTACAGAATCAAAACACAGATTGACTCATGTAAGAAATACTTAATTTGAAATAATAAATAAATATAAATATATTGAATAGAAAGTAAATTCAAAATTTGTTAAAGATGACAAATATTAAAATCAGTAAAAAGGTGGTATATGACTTAGAATAAGTTAAGCACGAAAGCGTGAGTTGGAGCCATCTCTGATTCATTGACTTTTCTACTTTTCACAACAAAAGACAATTAGCTAAATATAAACATTTATAGATCCTAGCCTAATTCTGATATGTACGTTTGTCTGATGTGCATTATCTCCTTTCAAAAGATAATGCCCCTGTAGCATTTGAGCTGAATTTTTAAAAATGTTAATTTGTCTTAAAATTTTCGCATGTTAATTCTCAATGACATGCAAACATTAATGGACGGATAAATTCCACAGAGCTGTCTATACCTTTATCTTGTTCTAACTCGTACCAACAAAATCTTTTTTCTTTCTTATTTATCATTGATTGTCTTTTTAACATGAATATATATCTTTCTTGTAAAAACGGTGCAATTAATTTAATGTGCAAATATCTCAAAATTTTCAGCAACAAAATGTATATAAATATAATATAGACGGTTTTGTTTGGTCTGAGTAAACAAGGCACAGTATAGCCGAGTGCTCTGTGTACAAAATATGGCTAAAAGCATAGTTCGCAAAGTTCTCTAAGACATTGCAATAAAATGGATTAGCCTATGCAATGTCAAGCATGTTAAACAGCCAAAAATAACTTTACCATCGACCTGCTATTATTACCAATATAATTCTTAATTATATCCTACTTTTTTTTTTTTTACTGACATCACATAAGACATACACACAAAAAGCAAAGTTTAAACTATATAACTATTATACTAAAATCTACGATAAATATATTTGGTTAACATCATAACCTTAAATTTAAATAGAATACAACAAGTTAACTAAAGACTCTTTGGGAGGTAAACATGTACATATCATCGGATTTTTTATGTTAAAGCAATGATGCCTCAACAAAATCTTTGGTAAAACAAATATTTCATGAATAAAAAATAATTATATAACAATGGGTCTTTAAAGCTCCCAATGTAACAAAATATATTATTTTTATTATACATGAAAACGATATATTAACCTAAATTACATAAATATTTTAAATTTCTTCTAGAAAAAAGGGGCATTTAAAAGTATGAGCCTCGATTCTGCCTCTCAGAACCAAAATTTCTAAAAGTTAATGTTCGTTAAATGTTTAGATATAGTTATCAAAATTCTAATAATTTTAGGTTCATAATTGGGTCTTATGCCACTGTATATTATCATTAACTATTGGAATGTATTTCGACAGACCCGGTAAGGCAGCTAGTGAAACAAACAAGAATTTTTCAATAATTTTTAACAAATCATATACTAAAGAATTATATTCTAACGCTTTTATAAAGCAAAATATAATGTATGCATTTGTTAGTTTTCTAAACTTATAAATCCTACTATACAATCAATTTACACATATAGCAAAATAAATAACTTGCAACTGAACTATACTTGCAATTAGTACCTACAAAATCATCCGTAAAACTAATTAGAATTATTTACATCATTTTATTACAACAATCTAAACTGATACTTTGGTCTTGCTGCATTTTTACCTCAAGGTATACTGCACATTAAATAATGAAGAAAATTAGAAATAACTTCAGTCTCCTAGAGTTAAAAAACAAAACAAAAAAGAAAGTAAAAGAACTAAAATACATAGAGGCATCCCAATCATAATATAAATAAAGCCATTTAATGCAAGCTAAATAGATAGAAAAAATATTCGCATAGAATAATGATATTCATTTTAGCATTTAAAAAATTCATGTCTAAAATAATTTTTAAGAAGATAAAATGCGCTTTTTTTTTCTTTTTTTTAAGTACACAAGTACAATAAGAAAGTAAATAACTATATACAATATTATAGTCACAATTTGTTCATATCAATATTCTTATTGATATGATCTGATATGTATGGACCTTGATATATATAATTTACATTAATATTATATGAATTTTATTGCTATAATAAGATTTACTTCATCAATTGCAAAATAATTAATTTTTAGAAATATGAAAAACAATATCCTCAGTGTTATACAATTATCTTCTTATACACAAATAATATATATATTAAATTTATATATATAGATTTATTTATATCTATCATAAAGATTTAAGGAAAGGGCACTGTAAACGATGCTTAAGTTAATCTACTTTTACATTAGAAAACCATTTTACCTCCCTCCCAAGAAAATAAAACAATATAGAAATTTGCTATATTTTCCAGATAAGAATATTACTACAACTTCACCTATCGCTACAAGTTTATTATTAATTAATTAATCAGAAATATTGCGTTATCAATATCTACTCATATAGTACATAAAAATGACACAACTATTAAATCAGTTATAAATAGTACAGGCCTCAGTTTTTGTAATCAAAAATCAGTAGTACGAATATTTCTGGTTATAGCCATCGACCGAATTACCATCTCTTAATTAGCAATCAAAGGGCACCTTTGGTATTTTTATTTTTATTTTTAGATTTTTTTTGTTTTTGTTCTTTTTTTTTTGAAGAGGGCAATTGAACAAGCATGGAGTCCATCATGATTTCATGCTTTGAACTGTTACAGAAAAATATATTTTAAAAACATTTACACTAAAAAGTATAGAAACTTATAAAAAAATGAATATTTTTTCTTTTCTTTTTACTATCTCAGATAAATCTTATTGTCTATCTTGGTCCAATATATATTTGTATTTATAAATAAACAATATAAAAATAATTTAACAAATAAACAATAAGTGGAAATATGAAATTTGAGAGTAGTTAGAAATATATCCTAGCCAAGATAAACTTTAAAAAGGCAAGATGAAGGTGAATCCATGTTTGCATTGCCCTGCTAGCCTTGCACCGGTTCGACGGTCCCTCTCTCCCAATGTCAGGTATTAGCAATGTGTTGTGCTGATGGCATGTAATTGTAATTAAACCTGTCCATTTTCTTCGATCCTACTGGATCCCTGAAATAAAAAATAAACAATTAATTACAAACATAAAAACATAGAGAAGAAAAAAAATATATATGTTTACTTTCTTTTGAATACTCTTTAAAAGTTTAAACAAAAAAGGTTTTGGCTGGTCTTTTATCTTTTAAAGTATTAAACTTTTGCTCTGCTCTTGTCAATTTTAATCAATGAAACTCATGCAGATTAAAATCTACCGAGTAGTAGGTAGGTAGCAATTAGTAGGATATTATAAAAAAAGGTAAAGTTCTCAAGAATTTATTTTAAATCATCCAGTTTATTTTAAGTCCAATTTCAATATTGATCCTATAAATTCATTTGATTTCTAAATTATACCTAGCTGAAAATTTCAAATGAAATATATGATTTATAGTTTTATTACTCCATTCTACAAAATTATGAAATAAATAAAATTAATGGACAGTTTATGTTTTCATTTAAAAATAAAACACAAAAATACAGAAAAATAAGACAAAAACAAAGTAGCCATTTTTATCGTTAGTTAATGTCTTAACAAAGAAATAATCTAAGATATGTGCATGGAATAATATATTTTGCATGTACATTAACAGTAGAGAGAGAAATAGTGTGCATTGTGACAACGGATTATAAATCAATGAATAAAGAAAAGACAACTATCCAACATATTAGCATTCCTTACATAAAGTAATTTTATCAAATAACATTAATGAATCAAAACATCCTAATAAAAGAGAGAAAGAATTGACCACAATACTTGAAATTGAACTGCATTAAATCGCAAAAAATAGGGTCACCTTTTTCCAATACCTAGAAAATCCCTCAGTCTAATGTTTAAATGGGACATCATGTATTATACATCTAAAATATATTTAAGATCTAATACTCAGGACACTAGAATTAATTAATTAAATGTGCACTTAGTGACATAATAGTATCGCGCAAAAACATTTCCAGTTTCATATGACTAAGTCCTATACCATAAATAATAGTCATAATAGATGAATGATGTTTCATAGTAAATTATTGTTTATTACTGCTGTTTAAGCTTCAGATATAATCTATTCCAGTAGGACATGGTATTTTGAAGCTCTACAAAAAGTTTGATATTAATGAGTCATATTTTTGCAATCGACTCCCAACTTGAATGGGATCAATCCTAAAAACAATAAAAGAGGCAAACAAAATTAATAGAATCACTTAATGAATTAAGGATTGTTATCATAGTAGAATGAGTATATATGTCTTCTGAACATAATGCAAACCTTACTATGTCATTGATACATCAAATAAATGCAATATTAAATACATAAAAATGAAAAACTCCCATATTTAATTCAAATTGTATACACTAAAAAAAAAATAAAATAATAATAATGATAATGCAGCATTATAGTTATTTTTCTAGTTAGTTTTATGATCACTATTATTTACTTTAGAAGACTGTGGATATATTTGGACTCCCTAATTATTTTTTTCTCCACCCCTTTCTCACCTTTTAGGCTATATGAGGTTTTTCCTAGACAACGGGAGAGGGAGGGGAATTAATGAGAGTTAAAATCTCCACCTCCTCTTCAACAGGGGACTTTAACTTTATGATTCAGGAATTATAACTAGTAGGCTACCACTGAATTTCCTTGAGTATTTACCTAAGATTACCTGAATAGTAATTAACTGAGTGAGTATCTATTTTATTAATTTTACATTTAATTTATTTCAATTTCTATTTTTTCTTAGCTTCTTATTTATGTTTTTTTAGAATATATTGATTGCTATGTGTGTTCATGTGAGAATAGTTTTTTTTTTTTTAGTTTTTTAATTAGAGTTCACTGTAAAATATAAGTGTGCGATTCTAACAGACATAATATACAGACTAATATGAAAAAAAACAAACAGATTATTTATTTATGATAATAATATTGTAACATATCATATGAAAATGAGGAGGAAGTGTATTCAATATAATTAAAATAAATCATATTTAAGATAAAGTATGGGAAAAATTTGACATACAGCATCAAAAATGGGTATAGATTTTGAGGAATCAGGTAGATCAGTGGATTGGATACTGACTTCCAAGCTTAAGGTGCCAGATTTGGATATGGCAGATGGCAGATAAATTATCTATTATAATTTCGGTGGGTCAATCTTGGGGTCAGGGGACCCTCCTGGGACACACCTAGCCTCGGTAAAATGGGTACTCTTAATTAGTTAAGAGGAAAACCTGGCGGTTGAGCGTAATCTCTGTCAAATCACCTGCTTGCTCAACTGTTGACCAAGAAACAATAATTTCCAACATAATACTGAACCCAAAACCCTTCATGAATTTAAGTTGTATAGGTAAGAAGTATGTCATTACTAGGGGGCGGGATGACCGAGCCAGCTAAAATTTGTGCAAAAAACACATTGCTAGTAACCAGATGATTGATAAACTGAAGTTTGAAAGACATTTAATAATTACGAGTTTGCATTGTGGTGCTAGGAGGCTATTAGCTCTGGTATTATTCCTCTCCTCTGGCCCAGGAAAATCCCTATAAAGCCTAAAAAGCAAGATAGGCATAGAGAAAAAAAAAATGAAAAGGGTAAAGATTTTATTATACCACCGCTTTAATGATAACTGTGATAAATTTTTATATTTAGTCCAAAAAGAGTGCTACGAGTTATTTTTAGTCATATGAGGGTGCTACAAATTCTTTTTATTCAGAGGAGGGTGTCGCGAAACTTTTTTAACCCTACAAGAGTGTCGAAAAATGATTTTAGTTTGACAAGATTGCCATGGCTAAAAAAAGTTTGAAAACTGCTGCCCAATTGGATAGTGGCTAAACGTAAGTAATACTCACTAACTGCATATTGGAATTCTAAACCAGATCATCGAATAGAGAAGTATGGTAAAGTTTCAAGAAAAAAAAAAAAAGTATCCTTTAAACTTATGGGACTGCATTTTTTAATGAATGGATGTTATTAAAGTTGCATTAAAGCAATATAAAATATAATGATAATACACTTTTATACTTGTTGAATACTTTTAAAGTTAGATACTGTCAAAACAGTATGTTAGGAAATAGTAGCGAGTATGTGAAACTTTATAATTATGCTGCACTTCATGTAATGACAACAACCAGTTCTCACATTCTATCAAAGGAGGAGCATCGTGATCCAACCACCCAAACAATATAAAGGTACTCACATAAAAGATGGAAGAACTAGAAGTGGATCAAATGAATCATCTCCAATCTCCATACCTGAGATATACAGTTACACAAATAAATTAAAGTTAAATGAAATAAACAAAAACGACCAGCAAAAACCTTTTTTTAAAGTAATTATCAAATAAAATAATTACGATTAAATTGAATTATTAAAAACTCTTATTTTAGTTATACAAAGAATATAATTGTAAATTATAATTAATTCAGGCATATGCTAAATAAATAAAATATGATAATTAATCAAACATTTAAAATCATGCATTCATAATTTATTTTGAATACATGCACCAGAATAATGTTAGAAATTAATGTATTCACAATAAATAAATTCAACATAACATAAAATGTATATATTTTCAATTCAAATCGAGCAAACACCACCAGTTAAATCAACTGAAAAAAAAATCCATTTATTTCCAAATTAATAATTACAAGCGCAAAACAAATATCTATCATGAAATAAATCTCATCATCAATATGCTACCTTAGTGTGTGGTTAAATAATTATAACATTCACCAACAAGCATATCATAATAATAGTAATAAAATTAATGAGAACTGAAAGAATAGCTGTAAATCGGGATATTGTACAATAAGTCACTAAAATATTTTTAATAAAATATAAATCAATAAAAAAAATGTCATGCTTTCAAAATAAAGTATATATTTCTGTCTAATGTTTTGTTTAAAGTAATTGTACAATAATAAATAAGTATAGTTGAAAACTTTTGTTAAATATATTTAAATTACAAATAATCAATATCTAATTCAGAAGACTTTTGATTATAATACGTTATTGACTTTATTCATATAAAAGCAAGGATATATCAAAATTAAGTCTGTTTTCATTAAATTAAATAGGACGAGTCAGTTCATATCCAAATAATTTCTATAATCAATTTAAGAGCATTTTTTTTTTTTGTACTTTCATACACAAGTATTTTAATAAAACATAAAGTACTTTGACCATCCTGGCCTTTTCAAAATGTTAATATAATGGAATAGGTAGTGAGTTTATGCACTATATCATCTTAGCCGCCATTTTTAATGTTAAAGAGACTTTTTAAATATTTTTATTGTGATCAGGCTATTATTGTCCAAGTGAGTGCTGCTTAAAGTAATGCTCAGTAAAACTGAATGATTTAGACATTTAATAATATAGAATTTCTTTGAACTAAAAGTTTTACACTTTGGAATGATTTTATTTTCAATGATTGTTGAGAATTTATTTATTGTAGCATTCATGTAAAACTAATGGTATTAATTTTTGACTACTTTGTATTTGTTTTTTCTACTAAAATAAATTTATGAATTTTTTTCAATTGGTAGCAGTGATATATCAGTATACGTGAAATAAATTAGTATGAATGTCTTTCCGCTAGATTAAAAAAAAAAAATCAAATCCATAGTATTTTGGAGAATTTTTTCTTTTTATGAAAAATATTGAATTAACAGCTATTGATTGCTATTATAAATCATAATACTAAAATAAGTAATGAAAAAATAATGTAATAAATTACATTTTTTTAATTATTTTGAACTGACCCATTCTATAGAAGTAATTTAACAGTATCAAAATTTCAATAATCTATGATGTAGTTAAAATTTTAACTAAGAACATGTCTATTTATTTATACCACCAAAAATTTGTTGTTATTACTTTATTTCTCTTTATATTTGATAGCTGTTCATTGTAAGTCAGCACAAGCTGCTTTTGGACAGAAGATTGATGCTTAGTTAATAGCCTCTATTACATTTAACTAATTTCAACTACCAAAAACAGGGCTTCGAACCCCTACCAAATTGAAA